CTGTGCTTACATTTTATCCCAACTAGGAAGAATTGGGGTCTCTGGGCAAATTCTCCTGCTGTTCAAGGCAGCTGAAGGGCTCCCTCTAATTCAACCGAGCTGTAATCCTCTCTCTCCCTGCCCTGCTCTTCTCCTCCTCCTCCCTCGCTCAATTCTTTCCTCTACTCCTCCTCCTCCTCGACTGTTTTTGAGGTTTCACTCCTTTCTCCCCCTTTCCCTCCTTCCTTCCTTCCCCCACTCCAGGGGATCAGTGGGAAACCACCCGCTTTCCAGAGCAAAGGAGACCTGGGTGTTTCCCAAGGGTGTCCTCCTCCTCCCCGCTCCTGCAGCACAAGTGCGTGAGGAGCCACCTGGGAGTGCAGGGATTTATAATCTGAGCAGGAAATTATCTCCCACCCGGTGAGGAGCTGCCCCAGGCAGGTGCAGGCGTGTCGGGCGAGGGGGTACAGCCGTGAAACGGGGGGTGGATGTGGCGTGGGAGGTGTGGGGTGGTGGGCAGGGGCTCCCACTCGATTCCCAGCACGGCAGCTGCCGGCTGGCGCGTGTTTGCCAACCGAGAGACGACATTTCTCCACGTTTCTGTAATTAGAGCCACACTGCAAACAGAGCCAGCACGGGAGGGACGGGGCTCTCGCCCTCCCCAAAGCTGCTCTCAGCCACCAGGACTGTCCCTAGACAGGCTCGGGTGTCCCCACATGCCTGGCACGTTTCATGCCTCTCATTTGCCCTTCACCTTTGGAAGATGCTCCAGGGATGTGACAGGGGAGGGAGGAATTTGGGCTGTAAATGGATTTCGCAGGGGGAAGGATGCTCCGTGTCCTGGCTCCTTCCTCTGCCCCACCACTCCAAATCCTGATGTATTTTTCCAGGCTTTCACCGAGGCACTGTTTGTTTGCCAAGTATAAAAAAACCCCACCTCACCCAAAACAAACAGTGGTTAAATGTGCAGCCAAAATTAACCCTCGTCAGCCTGGGCTTTCTGCCACGCCATCGCAGGGAGGCCCGACGGGAGGCTGCAAAACTGGGAAGGACTCGGTGACATTAAACCAAGTCACGGACGTTGATTCATGACGAGAGTCACTTCCCACTTGGAAGTGGCAGGAAAAGCCGCGGGGACTTGGCTGCGGCGTGTGGCACGCTTGGTTTGCAGCAGCCACGCCAGCATCCTGCCCATCCTCGCTGCACACCGGGGGAAACTGAGGCACGGGGTGGGCTCGTGACTCCCCCACAGCCCTCGGGGCCAGGAGGATGTAAGGGGCGAGCAGGCAGCTGCAATAACTCATGGAGATGCTTCAGGGGAGGCCGGGGAAGGGCAGGATGAGGCCATGGGAGGGGGGTGCTGGCAGGTCCCAGCTGGGGGGTTGGAGACCCTCCTTGGGCACACGCTGCCCCGCTGTCGTTCAGGCTGCAGCACTTTCTGTCTGTGACAATCCTTGTCCTGCCACCTGCAAGGCCTCAGTGGGGACGTGTCAGCCCGAGGGGAGCCCCAGGGGTGGGAACTGTCCCCACTGGCTTGGGGACATGGCGTGGGGACAGGGACAGAGCCTGATTTGGGCTCCGGCTGCTGGGGCACCCCAAAGAATCAGGGTGCTGCCTGCGCAGGCTCTGTGGGGCTGGGAAGGGGGCAGCCCTGCCTGCACCCCTGGGTGCAGCCCCTGGTGAGGGTGGGACCCAGCTGGGTGCCTGCTGCAGTGTGTCCGCAGGGTGGGTGGCACCAGTTGGGTGCCTGATGCTTGGATGGATGATGAAGAGGCCACTGGAACGTTGGGGGTGTCATCTGGGCTGGATCTGAACCCGTCCCCCTTGGTAGGGAATTCTAGCTAAGCCAAGGGACCCCAAAATTCACCTTCACCCCCTTCAGCCTCGCTCAAGCAGCAGGGAGGGAAGGGTGGTGCCAGCCAGAGGCTGAAGCTGGCAGGGATGGGGACTCCCCAGTCCCTACCACGCCTCACTGCGACACTTCTGCTGTCCCCTGGGACCCCCCAGCACTGCCTCCTCCATCTCCCCAGCCCCCTGCTGATGGCCCCCGGCTGCTGCCAAGCTGTGGCTGCGTATTTCCAGGCGCTCCTTGTCCCCGGGGAAGGGGAATGTGAGGAACGCAGCCCTGTGCACCCTGCCTGCTCCTGCCCGGACACCCAGCTAAGAATAGACCTGGCTTGGCTGGGCCCCCACCAGCACCAAGGGGCCTGGGGGTGGGGGACCCCCCGTCACCTTCCTGCGCTGGTTAATGAACCTGGGAGGTGGGTTTCTGCAGTGCCCAAAGGGTCCCTCAGACAGTGAAGGGCACCCAGGGAGTTTCTTGCTTTTATTTTGTCATTTTAAAGCAAATCTCCTCTCTGGGAGCCACGTGCACAGGCAGGGTGGTGCAGGGCAACCCCCTCCCCCCAAATGTGGGGTACCTGCTGCCACCTGAGCTCCTCATCTGTGAATTGTGGGGGAATTTCCTCCTTTTTTTCTGCTTTTACATGGTCTTTTTTTTCTTTTTTTTTCTCCTCAGGGAGTAATTTCACTAAGCCTCCTAATTTCAGCAGAAAGCATGATGCAGGAGCCAGAAGGCAGCAAAACCTCTCCAGATGTTGTCGCAACGGGGAAGGGAAATGATCCTCGGTTTAAAGGTGTCTTGTAAAACATGGCTGGGGCTTGGCAGAGCCCTCAGGCCACCAGCTTTTCATTGCCCTGAAAGGCTTCAGATGGGGCCCCCACCCCAAATGTGGGGTACCTGCTGCCACCTGAGCTCCTCATCTGTGAATTGTGGGGGAATTTCCTCCTTTTTTTCTGCTTTTACATGGTCTTTTTTTTCTTTTTTTTTTCTCCTCAGGGAGTAATTTCACTAAGCCTCCTAATTTCAGCAGAAAGCATGATGCAGGAGCCAGAAGGCAGCAAAACCTCTCCAGATGTTGTCGCAACGGGGAAGGGAAATGATCCTCGGTTTAAAGGTGTCTTGTAAAACATGGCTGGGGCTTGGCAGAGCCCTCAGGCCACCAGCTTTTCATTGCCCTGAAAGGCTTCAGCTGGGCCCCCCACCCACGGCCCAGCAGCTCCATTTAAGCTCAAGGTAGGACCTTCAGTCCCCTCCTTGGGCTGGTCTGGATGTAACCTTGTGTCCAGCCCCATCTGCTGCATGGACCTTGGAGCTGTGTTGAAGGCAGCCTGGTGTCCAGCCCCATCCCATCTGCTGCGTGGACCTTGAGCTTGTATTGATGGTAACGTGGTGTCCACCTCTGTCTTCTGGATGGGCTGCAGGCTTGGATTGCCTCCCTGTTCCTGAGCAGGAGGCCACAGTCCAGTGCAGCCATCACACACCCTTGTAGCTATCTCTAGTGTCCATTCCAGGATGAAATCAGCTTCTCTGTGGCTTCTCTGATGTCTAATTAGGGCTGAGCTTATGCTGCAGCCCCTGAGTGGGAACGTTCAGTGTGGCTCTTTTTTCTTTTTCCCTCCAGAAAGCAATTTTCATGAACCTTGTAGGCTTTGGATGATCTCAGAGACCTCTTTTCCTCCACTCATGGGACAGAAAGGAGCCGGTTAAAAAATGGCCAGTGAGAAGCAGAGCTGAGCACACCTGCACCAGCCTTTCCCAGGCTGAAAATACACTTGGCTTCAAAGCCAGCTCTCCCCGTGCCAGGTCTCTGCTGCGGGAAGGGGGGAGAGGAGGGTGCCCGGTGTGCTGGGATATAAAGCAGACACGTCGGGATGTGGCCGTGGGAAGGACGTGGGGCGGCTGCCCCCGGGGCTGGGGAGGGTGGTCGGGGTGTCACCCCCCCTCAGCGTGCTGTGCTCAGAGGAGGATGGAGAGCAAACAAAACCCGGTGTGTGGGCGGGCAGACACCTGCCTTCTGCTCCTCTCCTGGGTGCAGTGAGCCTCTCCCGGGCCTCAGTTTCCCCACGGGCGAGGGCAGAGGCTGTGGGCTGGGAGGGGGTGGGCTGGCTCGTCCCACATCCCCTCATTTCCCTGGCTGCAGCAGATCACGGCTCTTTAAGGCTGCAATAATCCCCAGCCTGGGATTAGTTTTGCACCTAATCACTGCAGAACAAATAGGAAGTTTTATTTACAGAAGCAGAAGAAAGACCAGGCGAGGGGGGAGCCTGGAGCGTGGCTGAGCCCAAGATAATCAGGAGCTGGAGGGCAGGAGGAGATCAATGACCTCGGAGCCCCCCCAGCTCTTACGTAAACGTCACTCCTGCACCGGAGCCGCGGCGGTTGTGAGCACCAGCCCTGTCCCAGCTTGGGCTTGGTGACCCCACCAACCTCTTGAAGAGTTCAGGCCTGGACTTTGGGGATTTCTGGCCCAAATCTGGCCCCTTCCTTAGGCACCTGCTCCACGGTGAACCCAGGAGCTGTCAGCGGCGTGCGTTAGGGGAGGATGGAGATGCTGCGAGGGGATGCTGGGCTTTCATGGTGGGGGAGGTTGGGTGCTGCAGGTGTGGTGCCCCAAAGCCAGGCTGGGCCCCAGGGATTTGTACTTGCACTGGGTCGGAGTGGCAGCTCTCCTGCTGGAGAGTCTGGTCCCACTGAGATCCCAGCCCACCTGCAAGAAGGAGCTGAGCGGCTGCTCTGAGGGTGACAAGACACGGGTTTATTTTTCATCCATGCAAGTGGACAGCCTGGCAGCAGGCAAACAGGGCTGGGAACGTGCTCCGTCCCTCCCCAAAGTGCCCTCTGTCACTCGAGGCCTGTGGATTTGCCCACAGGTCAGAGATGGCTGGTGGGTGCCCAGGCTGGAGCTGCCCCCAGCCCTGGGCTCGGGGGCAGCTCATGATGACTCCGTGACTGCCGGTGCCTGAATCTCTTTCCCCTGATGCAGACGTTGACAAATAAATAGCTCTTTTCTGCTTTGGCTCTTGCATAGTGGAAAAAAAACGTCTGACCTGATTGGAGAGAGGAGTCCTGGGCTCTGGAAGCCCATGGCTTCGATGGCTAACGTGCCCATGGCAGAGCTGCCAGCCCAGGCAAATGCCCATGCCTGCACCCTGTCCGTGCTCCCCTGCTGATGGCTGCCTTATTTCAGTTCCATTTCTGAGCTGGATTTGAAGGCCTTTCGCCTGGAGGAGAAGAACTTGACGCCGAAGAAGAGGGTGGTGACCAGGAAGACGAGTGCCAGGGCAAGCAGGACCCAGCCCCCTGCTGTGGCTTGGTGGCTGGTCAGGGACATGCCCAGGAAGTCAGCGTGGTCGGAGACAGCTTGGGCTGGAGTGGCTGGAAAAAGGAGAAATGAGGGACATGGTTGGTGTTGGTGGTGGTAGGGTGGTCCTCTGGGCAAGGGTGTGCTGGGTCACCAGCTCTCCCTTTGCTGGTCTCTTGGATGCCTTATCCCCTTTGGACTTGGGTCCGTGGCAAATCAAGGAGAAGCATCCAAACACTGTGTGGCTTTTGGGGTGGCCAAGAGGCACCGAGACAGCTCCACCTCTTCCATGTGCCCCCTCCTGGCCCTGCAAAGGGCTGAGCCCTGTCCCATCATGGCCCTGCTGTGCTTGGCTGAGCCCTGCATACCTGTGTAAGGAGTCCAGCTGTACTCAGGCCAGCCCAGGACCTCCCCGTTCTTCTCATTCTCCTTCACCAGCCATGTCATGAGTGGCTCCCAAGAGCCCATCCGGGCAGCCCAGCCCCTCCCCTTTCTTCTCATCCTCCTCCCCCAGCCATGTCATGAGTGGCTCGAAGTAGCTCATCAGGGCATCAGCTGACATGTTGGGCTGCTTCGTGATGAGCATCATGGCTTCAGGCCACGGCCTACTGAATCCCAGCTTCAGGGCTTTCCTGTGGCAGGAGAAATCAGCTCCAGTGGGTTCCCCATTGCCTTCTTGGCCACCAGCCCTTCTCTTTTCCCCAGGATTTGGGGCTCTTGGTATCAGCACCCCTGGGTACAGTCTGTGCCCCCAGCACCACAGGGCTGTCAGCCCAGAGCACAGGGAAGGGGCTTTTGCTTGAGGGAAGGGGGGTTGCATGGACTAAAGCCCTTTGGTGAGTCCAGCCTGATGGGGGAAGGGCTAATTCTGCAGGTGCTCTTCTTGAAGCAAGGGGGTTGTTTTCCATAGGGAACTGGGGGGAGAAGGAGGAGGAGGGGGAGAAGGATGAGGAGGAGGAGAAGGAGGAAGAGGAGGAGGAGGAGGAAGAGGAGGAGGAGGACCTGCCAGGGTCCCAGCTACCATCTAGTGGCTGCTTTTGCAATCACAGCCCCAGCACGCAGCCCAAGGTGCCCCTGCCCAGGGTCCCCCCTGCTCACACCCCAGGGTCAGGGTCCAGAGCAACCCAAGCTGGGGCAAGAAGGGGATGGATCACCAGGGGCTGCGTTGCCTCCTGTCTTGCTGGGCTGGTTTTAAGGTATTTGGGGACTTAAATGTCTCAGCTCTCCCTGCCCTCACACCTACCCCAAGATACTCCCAGCGTCCTTGGACTTGTAGATGTCACACTTGTGCAGGGGCCCCTGGTGCTTGGCCACCGCACAGAGAGCCTGGTGGAACTGGAACTGGATCACGAAGCTGACGAAGTACCTGGGGGGGATGGAGAGGGGTGAGGACATGAGAATGAACCCTACTAGTGGCAGTGTGAGAGAGAATCTGGCTCCCCTCATCCCCTGGTTGCACCCTCTTAGTCTGGAGGAACGTCACTGGCTTTGGAGTTCCACCAGCACCAGCTCAGTCCAATCTGCTGAGGCTACTTTTCCTTTCACCGTGTTTTACTGCTGGTCTGTGTGGATGAGCCCATCTCCCTTGGATAGGGAGAAATTCTCCCAAGTCTAGCCTTCCTCTCTGTTAGGGTCCCCAGAACTGCCCAGGACCTTCAGGATGGTACCACCAGCCACGAAACAAGGTGCCATCACTGGTATCTGAACTGGAGAGCCTGATTCTGTGTCCAAGTGATGTCCCTCCTGCTTACTCACCTGATGTAGGGGACGTTGGCAGGGATGTGAAACTTTGCCCCAGGGTCAAAGTCGTCTTCAGACCTTGGTGCTGGTGGGCACAAGCCCTGGTACTTCATCCTAGACCGGAGAGGGAGAGCATGGGGGAGGAGAAGGTGGGGTGGGCCGGGAGGGCACACAGGGGGGTGAGAGGACAGTGCGAGGGGTTGTGTGTCCCACTGCATCCCATCAGAGCCAAATGGGCCACAGGGAGCAAACACCCAGCAGGGTGATGGCCAAGGCCCTTGCACCAAAGAAGGATCTGAATTCAAACACACCTGAGGTTCCACCACTGCTGGTTGTACTCATCCTCCTTGATCCTCCTGTCGAACACCTTCCAGCGCCACTGGTCCATCAGGTACCCGAAGGGCAGGAAGGCGATTTTGTCCAGGGCAATGCTCATCAGGTAATTAATGTCACTTTCTGCCCAGGGTGGGGAGGTGTGAGCAAGGCAGTGCTGTACCCACCTCTCCACCCCCATGGGTCATTCTGCCCAACAACAGGGTGTTCCCACTAGGCCCAGACCCCTCCCGTGCACACAAATCCATCCTGCATGTCCCTGGCCCCTTCTGCCTTGCCCAGCCCACCCAGACCCTCTGCATCTCCAGCTGTCCCCAGCAGGCCTCTCCCCTTTGCCATGTGCTGCTTCCCTGCCAGCTCACCTTCGTTGTCCGTGACTTGGTCCAGCAGGTTGATGCTGTGCAGGTGTTTTGGGGTCGAGACAGACAAAGCCATGACATCCCCGATGGCCTCGTGGAAGCCAGGGTTGGCCCCATCACGGAACGAGATGGGCTGGTCCATGTACTGCAGGAAGTACTGGACGTGGCCCATCTCGTGGTGCACCGTGATTAGGTCATCCATGTTCACCACAGTGCACTGCTTGATCCTGGACCAGGACATGTGGGATGGGGGGAGAAGGGAGGACAGTGTTGGGGTGAAAATCTCCAGGAATGAGCACACTCCCTTGAGCTATTTTTCCCCTCCTAGCCACATGCCCCCACCCCACACATGGTTCTAAGCTGGACTGGTCCTGCTCCATTGGATTGGTCTCTATTTTCTCCTGCATCTACTGCTGTTCCTGTCCATTCCCTGTCCCTGCTCAGTGGCTTTCCCATTCTCCATGGCAGGGAAGGCACTGATTGCTCCCCATCCACCATGGGGGCTCCCGCTCGCATTTTGGGTACCAGTGGGGATGCCAAAGCGGGACTGCCACAGCCGCAGGGCAAGAGACATTGTGGTCACATCAGGTCACGTGTGCTTATTCTGCTGAGACTTTGCTCTCTGCCCCAGCACCACGTTTGCTCCCCGGGGGCACCTGAAGTCCTTGCGGTTGTAGAAGTCCCAGGCGGAGGCGTGACACACCACCTCCCGCCCGTCGGCTGGCTTCTCAATCATGGACTTGTTCCAGAACTCCTCGGGCATGGGGATGAGGCCCAGAGAGGTAAAGAAATGGTCTGACACTTCAAACATCTTCCTTGGGGTCCAGCCCTGGGGAGAGAGCAGCCAGAGGACCTGGTGAGGGACAGCTGGGGAGCCTGGAGGTGCTGTGGGAAGGATGGGAGGCCAGGGACAACCTTGTTTCTCTGGGCAGAGGAGACCTTTTGGGGAACCTAGAGCTGGATCCAGCCCTTGGCATACCCAGGTCAGTAGAGAATATGGATGAGGCATGGAGCCTCATGCCATATTTTGGGCAGCACCCAGCACCTTTTGGCAACATGGGTGGTGGCAATGGCCAAAGGGTGCTGGGTCCCAAGGGGCTTCCCCAGAGCAGCCTGGAAAAGCACTGACCTGTTTTTTCATGGCTGGGGTGGCATCCACCTTGGTGGCATTTGGGAAAGGTATCACCAGGTCGAAAATGTTGGACCAAGACTGGGCCCACATGTTGCCTGGGAAGCACAGGAG